CTCGTGCTCGGCAAAGAGAGATTTTAGCCGTGCTCGTCGCTTCTGCTCGTGCTCGCCTCTCCGGGCCCGCGGTGCGCGCGGTGCTCGCCGTGCTCGTCGCTTTTGCTCGTGCTCGGAAGAGTCTCTCGTGCTCGCCGTGCTCGTCAGAGGACTCGCGATTGGCAACTGCTACTGGATCGAGGCAGAGGACCGAAGCAGCCCGTGCTCGGAAGGAACGCGAGGAAGAGTCGGAGAAGCGCGGCAAAGGCGGTGTCCTTTAGGGTTTCAGCCTGAGCTCTGATACCATGCGGTAAATCAAAGAAATTATTTGTATTTCCCTACTTCTCTTGAATTGATCATACAAGGTATTATATAGGAGATTAAAAGGAGAAAAACTAGGAAACTATTTAACTATTTACCTTAATTTAAGGGATTACAAATTTATTCTAATTTCCTTAATTTAAGGGATTTACCAATTAATTCTAATTTCCTTAATTAAGGAAATTAGAATTAATTCTCACAACTTTGTTTCCATCTCAGTCACATCTCGACAGATTATTTAGCATCCATCAACCAAATTAAAATTATGAAATGATCCGTAGTATTTTAAAGTTAATATTGATTAAGGAAAGTGTTAACAAGTGTCAGTAATAGCACACACACATATGTTGTGATGAGCGACACATGATATTAACCCTACTAAAATGATCTCTTTCCTTGATTGGAAAGGAGATGAGGAGCATGTACGCCATTTGCTCTGCAAAAAAATGACGAAATGTTTACTTTGTCTTTTGACTATGCTTATGATATAATCCCACCTTTTTTGTTATAATTTGCAGCCTAAGCACTTTGCTTCACATCATTGTTAATACACATGCTTCTTTGCACTTTTTAGAAATAACGGGTGGTTGCTACTTTCCTGCTGCAGGGATAATATATAGGCGGAAAAGTAAAATGAGTGCAGTAATGAATGTATACCATTTATATTCTCAAAAAGAACTTGTTTAATAGTTGACATAATGTGAAATAAGCACAATTGTATAATATGCATATAGCCTTAACTCTATAATTTTTATCTTCATCTGTTTATCTATATTTTTATGTAATATATCCAATACATTTAAAGCTATCTGACCTTTGTATCACCTTATGTTTTAATTTGATTGACAATTGTTAACATCGCTCAAATTTGATTTACCTACAAACATGCGTGATTTCGTATAAAGTTTTGTGTGTAAATATATAAGTATTTTGTGGTTTGTATGTAAATGCCCATTTAATTTTTTTGCTAGATGCCCTTTGCTTAAAGTTTTGAACTCATGTCTTTTATGTTTCACTCTTGTGATCTTTTCTCTTTTTTTGATTGTTCTTAAAAATTTTGAAGAATATTAATTATTATTATTTCACATTTGAAATCATATATCAAACTGTTTGATACACTAGCAAATGGGCAACACAAGAGAAGACGCATCATCCTTCATATGGGGGAAAAAAAAAACAATAATGAATTTTTGTGATATTTGTACGAAAGTGATTGAATTAGGAAATAAGCCAACAATACATTTCAACAAAAAAGATTGACTTAACATTACAAAAAATTTTCAAGAGAGAATCGAAAGAGTGAATTACCGAACTCAATTAAAGAATAAATGAGACTAGTTAAAAGAAGATTAGAAAATTTGGAAAGAGCTTAAAAGATGATCTATTTGACTTGGTTAGGATCCAATTAAAAATACCATAGATGCATCATCAGATTGGTGGAAAGAGAAATTAACAGTGAAATCTATTTTAAGATATTTATATTTATATTTTTTGTTAACGTACAATTGTTAGACATAACTTCTTCTTCCGATTATATAAATGATGGGTTGTATCAAATGCTAAAAAAATTAAGTTTGGTGGAATTGAATCAGAGCTAGAGGAGAAGCTTGATGTTATGTTTGGTGGGGTTGTTGCGACTGATGAACATGCTTTAACTCTCCAGGGTTTGGAAGAGCTTAGAGAGAGCCCAAGTGATCATATTCAAAGATCACCACATGAGAGGAATGAACATAGTTAATCTATTCATGCAAGGACTCCAACTTCTTTAAAAGCAAGGGCAGATCATAGTAAAAAAATTGGTTGTGTACCTAAGAAGTCAAATATCAGTTTGGTTACTATATGCACAAACTTATCTTCTGAGGCTACCACTGCACAACAATCTCCATCTTTTCCTGATATAATAAAAATATCAGAATAAATAACAGAAGTTTATACTTATATGTTTAATCATTGAAGCTAATTGAAGTTCCTATCAAGAGGGATGTTTTCACGTCAATGGCATATGAGACGAAGGTTCATTACTTGCGCTTCTACAAAAATTGCAATGTCTGATTAATTCTGCTTCTACGCGTTCTGTGTGAAGTACGCTTGATATTTCAGTATTACAACTTTTTCTGACATTAATTTTTTGCCAAAACAACTGCTCTTGATTTAATTTCATTTTATGATATATTTTTACAGAACAATTACTTTTGATGTTAACACTTGTGATGTTTCATCTTATTTGATATGTTCAATTTTTCTTCTACATGTGTTATCTTGTGATATCTTTTAATATTAGCAGTTGTGATATTTTCTATTGTGATTTTTATACTTGCGATACATTGTTTTGCTATGTTAAAACCAGTGATATATTCTGCCGACACATTATAATTATGATGTCGTGTGATGCTTCATTATTGCTTGTGCTATTATATTCCTAAATACAACTTGTGATATATCTTTTATATAAATGGTAGAGTACGTAGAGAGCGTTGCAAAAAAAATATTACAACAGCTGTATGTGTGCTGACTGCGGACAATGAATCATACATCTTTTGTTGAGTTACGGGAGCATATCACTGATGATTTAGGCTCTGTTTGGGGCGGGGGTAGGCCAGTGGCGCTGCACGTTTATCATAAAACGCGGGCCGCGGGTTTGACCCCGCGCGTTTCTCATTCTGTTTTTTTTACGGTGGTGCCCTCCTTTTCTTCGTGGTTCATTTGCCCTTAACCCTAGCGTCGAACTCCTTTGTGAAGCTACGGTCTCTTGTTCCTTTTCCTCCTCTTCTCTCGTGTTTCTCACACTACCCGGTTCCTCTTCCTCCTTTGTTCCCCAGCGGTAAGCACATTTTTAGCAATAGAAATTTCAGGAACCGTTCTTCGAATGCAAGTATCCATGTGAATGCTTGTTCTTTATATTTTTAATGTTAGATATGTAAATAATGTTCGGTGGTATGGATGTGAATGCTTGATGTTTGAGTGAGTTCTTGGTGGCTCGATTTTTGGTTTGGTAAATTATATGAATTTTTTTTTTTTTGAGGATGTGGTTTGGGAATGTAATCAACAATCTGATGTTAGATATGTTTGGTGAGTTATTGGTGGTTGTGGCTTTGTCATTGATGTGAATACATATCATTTGGATGGTCTGCATGATGATTTAAGTGTGGCTGAATTGAATTTTAGCTATACCGTTTTGATGTGAATTTTTGCTTATGAAGTATCAAAAATATGACTAGAACAATTATGTCATAAGCAACATTACTACACAGGGGTAGAATGATCATTTATCTAGGAATTGTTGTCGCACAACTGTGTTAAAACCACAGAAAACAAACAACCAGCCAACTTCCCAGCAACAACTTCTTGAGACAGCTAAGATGCAACAGCTTATTGATAAACTACAGCTGCCCCAAACAATCCCTTAGTTCTTGGTTTAATATTTTTATGGTTGATTGTATGAGCAAGCGTTTTGTAATGCAGTTGATGAATGATTGAAGTATAACTGTGTTAATTTTTTTGGTAAAACTACTTGTGTTGTTTTTTCTTTTGATGATATTTTCTGGTAGTTATGTAGATCTTACTGTTTCATGGGAAGACCTTGCTCTTGTTTGATTTTGTGATCATAGCATTGTTGTTATTGGTGTTAGTTGTATTTGTTTTGATGATGTTGATGCATTTTGGAAAATTATCTGTACTATAGGTTTTTTTTGGTAAGCAAACTTGTATGTTTGGCTGATATGCAACTTATGTTGAGGATATTAGGTTAAACTCATGTTTGTATGCTTATTTTAAGCGCAGAAAATCGAGTTAATGTTCACGTTAAATATTTTCATGTTGAAGGTGTTGTGAATGAAAATAACTGAGAAATTATCATTAAATTTTTCCAAATATATGTCCATTTTCATAATTAAAATATATTTTTTAAAATCAAGTCTTCACTTTTATTCAATAAATTAATTTATTGACTTTACTTTTGTATTTCTGTTTATGTGGGTAAAACAGTTAAAAAAGAGAATTACGTATACTGAAAATATCTATGTTATCTACATGAGTACACATACAACACCTTTAGGACTGTGTTTTTCAAATGAGCCAACTGTTTCTGAAACACCAGTTTTTGAACTGTGGATTTTCAACAACTGCTTTTGAACTAAGGTTTTGTATAGTTATAGTTGAAACAAAGTTATCCTTAAGACTCTGACTCCACTTTTCCTGACGCCAACCTTCAAAGTTGGTTTGGGTGCTAGTGGTTGTTGTTAATCATCCAATTCCTCTCTTTTGAGATTTTTTTGTTCCATTTTAGACTGTCTAGTATTCTCTTGATATTTTTTCCCCAAACAAGGATGAAGGCAAGATTTACCTATACAAAATTAATCTAAAACCTCATGGGAGACTTTTATGATGATAACAGGCGACGAGGGAAGATATTTGAAATTCCCTAGTGGCAGAGTCCGTGATATTTTATAAAAAGGAGGACCTTATCTTAAACTAATTTCACCAAATGTATGCAAAAATCTGTCCGTGAAAATCCACTCATGCTTTGTTTTGGTTTTATGATGTAGATTTATTTATAATATATAATGAAGTTATTCAAGAGCCAAGTGAGGACATTTTTTCTAAGTAGGGGTTGCTATGAGCCGTTGCAACCAAGGATAGTCATGCACTTTCTTTGCTCATTATATGATGATTTATAATGTTAGTTCATTTCTCAATCACAGCTGTATGCACGACTCTTAGCTGTAGTGGACACTCCAAACTTCTTGGCTACACTTGAGTCACTTAATCTGGAACTAGAATGCAGGCCAGATGGGGATTTGCTTTTTACTAAAGGTTCAGTTTTTTTTTTTAATTTTTATTTTAAAATCTCTCAATTTGTTGATTTCAGGTTGTCATTGATTGCTTTATGCTTTTGTATCTTTTCAGAGTTTTTCTTGAAGTTTTCTATGTTTCAATTTTTTCGGCAAATTCTTTGCAGATCAGGATATGCAGGATGTTTTGATTAGTGGCGGTGAAGGAAATCCTAATCGGTGGGTATTAGTTAAACATGATATGGATCCAGACAGTACGGAGGAGGCCAGTGGAATTGATGATGAAAATTATGTTGTAATTAGTGAAGAGAATGTTGTTGATGGCTTAGCCATTTTCATTGGTAGATGCGTCCTTGAAAACCCAATATCTAAGGTATGATAATGTTTTACTTGTGTTTCTTATATTGGATACGTATTGGTGTATGACTGCTTGCCATCCTGAAATTGCAGACGATGTCACCACAAGAAATACAGAAAGGTAACTGCTATTCTCAAATTATGAGCTTTCAAATATGTTGGTATCCGGTGATGTCCAATCCCATTTATGTTGATCTGATAAACTGCTGTGCTGTTTCACCAGCTTTGCAATTCTTGCGGTGCCATAATTTTATTTTATTATTTTATTATTTTTTATTGAAATAGGTTAACAATGAAAAAACTAATTAGTGAAAGTACGTGCCTCTTGAGCTTAGCTATCTGCTATCTCTCTCTTTGACTCTGCTGGAGCTTACTGTTTGCTTAATTCATGCCTAAGAGTGTCAGCTGACACATTGTGAAGCTTGCAGGAGTGCATTGGGATATATTTTAGCATCAAGAAGGAAATGAAAACTAAATGGGGGTAGGGAGAGAGGTTAATTGCCTCTTCAGCTGCATTATAGTTGAGTTGATACGATGTCTTCTATTGTCGTCCCATCAGAAACCAAGGATTTTTGCATGTTGAAACCTTGAAGAAGTGGAGGGCCTTCTTTAATTCTCGCACGCACATACACACATATCACTTTTAACTTATGGCTTAATTAGGTGATATGCACGGATACAGTCTGAATTAACACCGGTTATGTGGTTAACTTGAATCAGGCTTTAGATCTATAGGGGTGTTTTTGGTCTATACAGCAGCTGCTCTTTATTTCTGGGAAACAGTTCTCTTATCATGATACCCCTTGGTTTTGTTGATGCCGATGTGATAATGGTGACTCTTTTTTGTGCAGAAAAGTTTGTTATGGCAAGATGATTTTGAGGGATATTTGCATTTTTATTGCTTCATTCATAAGGGAGGAAGACTTGTCTTTAGAATGAATTGAAGGGTAGCGTGGGCTCGAGAAGAAGTGGGATGTAAAGAGTGATTAAATGAAGAGAAAATGGTGGAAGAGTGGGGCCAACCAAATCTTATAATATTCTTGTATCAATAATAATAATCATCCTTCTTACATGCACACTCTATTTATGAAGGAGTCCGTTTGGAGCAGCGCGTTTTGTGCAGGCGGCGTTTTGAAAACGCCGCCTGCGGTTCCTTATTATCCGAGGACGCTGTATACAGGCTGTGTCTCGCATATAGCTCGTGCCTTCGATTGTCTCCTCTGCGCCGTCTCGTGCGGAAGCCCTAACTCTCTTCGATCCTCCTCATTTATCTCGACCGTTGCTTTCGTCCTCATCTTCCTATCTCCGATATGTGCTTCTGGTGCTCTGTAAGTAACCCCGTCGCCTTTATTTTGGCGATTTTCGACCTCGAGACCTTTTCGGGTTTGAAATCTCCCATCTTCTTTGATGTCAGAATTTTGTGGTGCTCTCATTGAAGGAATGGCTTTCGTGCTAAGGTTTTTTACTTGGTTGTGTTTTGTTATGGTGATTTTCCTCTAGAGCATCTTACGGGTAGAATTTTTTGGTGCTGAATTTTTTAAATTGGTTCTCTATATCTGTTGGCTTGGGTTTTCTACGTGTGTTAGCGATGGGGCATGTGGCTTTGGTTTCTCTATGTATTTGCGATGGGGTTGTTGAGCCGTGGTTACTCCGTTGGTGGATTGGGCATTGTTTCTGTGTGTGTTGATGGTTGGCTTGGTTTCTCTATTGGGCTTGCTGAATAGAAGCTGTGAGCTTGGGCATGTGGGCTTGGTTTTTTCTGTGTGTGTTTGCGATGTGGCAGTTGAGCAGTGCTTACTTTGTTGGTGGATGGGCATTGTCTCTGTGTTTGTTGGTGGATTGGCTTGGTTTCTTTGCTGAGCTTGCTGAATAGAAGCCGTGAGCTTGGGGCATTTGGGATTGGGTTTCTCTGTGTGTGTTTGCGATGGGGTAGTTGAGTTGTGCTTACTCTGTTGGTGGATGGGCATTGTCTCTGTGTGTGTTGGTGGATTGATTGGGCTTGCTGAATAGAAGCCGTGAGCTTGGGGCATGTGGGATTGGGTTTCTCTATGTGTGTTTGCGATGGGGCAGTTGAGCTGTGCTTACTCTGCGGGGCTTGCTGAATAGAAGCCGTGAGAATTCATATATTTGGTGTATTCATATATTTGTTGAATTTCGACGTTCGTTTAACTTGGCATGATTACAATGGTAATGGTAGCTCCTTTGCATTCAACGTTACATTACTTATTACTGTTGTAGTGCACTGTTTAAAAATGCACTCCAAAAGGAATACTCATTCTTTCTTCTCAAACTTAAATAAGGGGTTTTCATCATGCAACCAGTTTGTGATGCAAGAGGCTATTTTATCCAAAAACAGCTGCAAATAAGCTGTTCTGAATAAGTTTTCCCAAACAGCAAGCCACCTTATCCTGATAATTTACAGATTATCAGATTGTCAGGATAATCTGCTTATAAGCAGATTATAAATAATCTGCAGCTGCCCCAAACAGACCCTATATCACATATAATTCAATTAAAAGAGAAGGAAAGATAACTTGAGGCAATCCAAAGAAATAAATGTTAATTATTTATGAAAAACAAGTCATCCATAAAAGGTAGTTCTTTAAACAACGTAGTTTTGATTGCACATTTATTCATAACTAATCCAAAGAAGGTAGGTGATGATGAGTCCAAATACTTTGGTGACAATGAGTTTGGATAAAACAAGCGATGATATCTTGCCTTGAGTTCGATAGCTTCGTCCTATGTCAAGTACTTTGAGCTATGAGAAATTCTATCTTCAAGACTTGAAGAGCAGAAGCTAGTATCTATGGAATGATGGTGGAGTATGCTCGTGTGATTCTGTGAGTACACTAGAAGTAGATAGTCACAATTGTGAGTACACTAGAACTTATATACAATAAAAAATTTGGGGCCGGTAAAGTTGAATGTCAGTATACATTATATTAGTGTATTATCTCGAAAACACGCAGGGGTCTTATGATAGTATGGTAGTAGTGGCATTGCTAAATCAACTTTTAATGTTGAGAGTGTAGTAGGAAGTATGATAGGGCATTGGGCCGCATCTTGTAACTCAATATAAGCAACCAATGGAGAATCTAGTTGTCTTTACATTGTGCCATTGTATATGTTCACTCATACGAAACATCTAATAATTTGGCAATTGCATTGGTGGAAAAGCAAAATAACCCTGTATAATTGGTGATGGAGAGGACAATATTGAGGTTGTGGAGCATCCTAGAATCCATTTAAATAAGCTGGTAAACAACAACAATGGCTAGATGATCCTTTCACCTATGCTCAACAACGCCATATATCTTTGCCTCAATGTGTAATGGAGCAATATTAGCTAGTGAAGTCAGAACAGTTATATGAAGTACAGGCACGATTTCAAGTTTGGTGGCTATCTTTGAGTCATGCTTGGGCAATTGATCAGGCTAAAGTTTGGGTACAAACTCAAGCTCAAATTCAGGCAAAGTGATTGATCATTGTCCTCCTTAATTCAAGCAAGTGGAGATAATGTGATTGGTTGAGCTGATGAAGTTTGTAGAGTATTTAGTGTTAATTGAATTTTTGGAATTGAGTAAGGTCAAGTAAGTGGAGTTTGTGGAACTAGAGAGGGCAATCATGTAAGGGAGGATTCTTTTGCTTATATGATGTAAAAATTGAGCTTTTGTTACGAATTTGATGTATGAGAAGATCTATAAGAATGATCAACATAATGTGAGTCATTATATTCATGCTTAAATTGTGGAGACACATTTTGCTTTAGATAATAATGCTAAGATCTCTTTAGATCATGATATTATTCATACCTTCAATTCAAGAGTATTGATCGTATGTATCATAATGAAAGTACGAACAATGTGAACTAGGATACCTATTTTGATTATATTTTGCATCTTTATAATGATGCTATGTTGATATATATTATATTGTGAGTTTTGAGCCTAATAAAAGACCTCGGTAGTGTGGGAGTCTTGATGATATTGAGAAGAATGAGGTTATAATATGAATCATATAAGTCAAAAGAATCAAGACCCCATTGAGCACAATTTCATGTTAGTGGAGACAATTTTTTGAGGTGCATTTGAAATTGCAAGTAAATAGATGACAAAGGACAATAGAGTGACTCAAGAAAGCAAACTCAATTTTTTTTTTTGAAGTGGGTGATCCGAGAGTACTAATTTGAGGAGGACAATTGATTTCTTTGAAGCAGGAAATAATTCTTTGAGGGATTATTTCAAACCAGTTTTGCTTTTTGTTTTTATTTTGTTTTGTTTATATTTTGATTTGAATCAAAACATGTTTGTTAAATTAAAATAAATAATGAATACTTTTGAAATAAAAGTTATTTTTAGTGTTTTTAAAATCATGTTGATTTGTTTTAAAAAATAAAGATAAAACATGTAAAGAATAAATTAAACAAATATGTTTATAAAAATAAAAGAGAAAAACTAAACAAAAAATAAATTATTTCGAACCAGTTTTGTTTTTGTTTTTATTTTATTTTGTTTATATTATGATTTGAATCAAAACATGTTTGTTAAATTAAAATAAATAATGAATACTTTTGAAATAAAAGTTATTTTTAGTGTTTTTAAAATCATGTTGATTTGTTTTAAAAAATAAAGATAAAACATGTAAAGAATAAATTAAACAAATATGTTTATAAAAAAAAGAGAAAAAATAAACAAAAATAAAAAATAAAGTGATGCCAAACAAGCCTTTACTTTGTCATGTTTATTGATAATTTTTCTTTTTTTAGATGATAGAAAAGTGGAAAGGCAAGAAAGGAAGGGGTTCTATCTTAAGCTAATCAATTAGGAATTTTTTGTGGCTTATTTTCTTTAAAGAATTGTAATGGAATATAGCGAATTAATGCAGAAATTTCGTAGATATTTTAATGAGGTATTGTAGACTTAATAAGGGGGATTTTAGATTAAAATTTGGAAGGGTTTTTTATCTCCTAATTTAAGTTTTGTTTCTACGGAGGTGTTGAGTTTGGGTGGTTAGGGTTTGCTGGTGACTTAATTTTACGTTGTTTATGGTTAGAGATAAAAGCGAACTCGAGAGAAGGACACATATGAGGATGTGACAAATAGTATGGAACAACACATCCAAAAAAAAAAAAATAGATGGAAGATTAATATAATTTGATGAAGTTAAACATTTTCATAGTTATATAAAGAGAATTTTGTTCAATTAGTTTAAAGATGATACAATATACAAAATATTTACTCATTTAAATATTTCTCACTTTTTTCTTGATACCATCTTTCTTCCTTTTACTTCTCCGAACTTGGAGCAGTCTTTTACTGACCATAACACCATTTAACTATCTCTTTATGTAATGTTTAGATGTGATAGGTAAAAACATTGTTGAGGTTAAGTAGATAGTATTTCGTGGTAGGTAAAATGTTCGTAAATGTTAGGCAGATTATTTAAAAATGCATGCAAACACATGTGAAATATACATATTGTATATTTTGACTTTGCAATTGAAGTTCATAAGGAAATTATGGCTCAACTATCTTCCACTTAGAGGTTAAATTTTCAATGTGTTTTCTGGTGAAACATAGATTTTCTTAACGAGTTTCTTTATTTTCTTAGCCATAAGTTTTTGAAAATTTTAAATATTACAAGTTCTACTACTCTAGCATAATAGATCTGAAGCTTGAAGGAAATGAAGCAGTCTATTACTGGCCATAAGTCGTTACTTGAAACAATTCAAGAGCTTCAAATTTTACTTTCACAAAAAGGCAAACAACTAAGTGTAATTTTCTTTGAAGTGGAAAAAGAGCGTGCAAAAATTGAAGAAAAATTAGGGACTTGTAGATTAAAGTACACTAAAATTATTACTAGAAAAGATCACCAAATCACAAAACTATCGATTGCAGTTGTAGCCATCGTCGACATTTTATCTGCATATCGTTTAAGATATATAAGAAAAAATTAAGATTAATTTATAGTAGTCATAATTTTAAATTAGCATTTTTTAATAAATACTATGATAAATAAAATTTTATTAGTTCTTATATTTTTTTCAGTAAATATTTTTCTCTTTTAGTTTTATTTATGAAATAAAATATATCTTTTAATTTAAAATATACTTATTTATTTTTTCAATTAACTTTTTCGGCTAAATTTTAGAAAATGTTCTTGGTAATGATAATCAAGTAAAAGAAGCTTAATTAATTAAAAACTAATAAAGGAGCTAAAATGCAAAAATAATGAATTTTTAATAATATATGTTTTTTTAAATTACAAATTTAATTTGCATTTTACAAATCAAATTTGTGTTGAAAAATATTATTGAAAAAAAATTTCTTTAGAAACATAAATTAGTTTGGATCTATCTTTTGTTTTACCTTTTCTCTTACTTTTACATCCACTCATAAGATTCAAAGTAATAGAAGCGCCTTCTTCTAATTCTCATTTTATGTTGTCTACAGTTAAGATTAGGTCACAAAGGCTATTAAGCTTTACCTTTGTATTCATGCTTGAACTGATGTCACAGTTCTAGCACAACATGCTCAAAGCAAAAATTTCAGTAACAAGACTGATATCAACCAACCTCAATTGACTTAAAATGAAATTTTTTGAACATGCACTGCAATGAAACTGCAACCTTCTTGAGATTGAAAATGTTCTTATTATATTCTTTGTTTACCACTCAAAGCTTCTATTACATGTTTGATGGAGCTTTTACCTTGTTAGTTATGATTTTATCATGCAATATATTGAAGGTAACATTATTTGTTATTGACAAACATACAAGTTGCATTATATTCTGTCTAGTAGACTGCAGTCTTCTTGGATCATTGTAGGAGGCTTTTTATTTAAGAGAGGTAGATGTAGTTTCTTCTGGTACATATAGTCATCGGTTCATTTCTTGTTGTATATAAAGTCTTTGTCATTAAACTTATTGGTCCTCAATTTTTTTTCTCGAACTCCACTATTCCCATTTTTTCTATAGAATTCCAAGACTACCCTAATCTTGATGCTAATTATTGGGTGTAAGCATGCACTTGAGATTGATGACAAACATGATGTTGAAAAAATATTTATATAAGAAAATTACAATAAAGACAACAACACTTTATCCCACTAAGTGGGGCTCTTTATCCCACTAAGTGGGGCTGGCTACATGAATCTTTTTTCTCTATTGTGTCCTATTTAGTGTCATTTTTTCATTTAATTCAAATAGATTAAGATCTTTTTTTATACAATATTCCCAAGTATTTTTAGGTCTACTTCTATCATTCTTATCATAAGTTGAATCTAAAACATCTACTCTCCTAATAGAATCATCAGATGGTCAACGTTTAATGTGACCAACTCATCTAAGACGACTCTCTAATCTTTTCTGCTGTTGGACCTACACTAAACCTATCATGGATATTATCATGGATATATTCATTTATATATTCATTTAGCATTTTGTCTCTATGTGTCAAGCCACTCATCCACCTAAGCATTCTTATTTCAGTAACACTTAACTTTGTTCTATGCTTCTCTTTTGAAGGCCAACATTCTACACCATGGAGCATTGCAGGTCTCATTACCATCTTATAAAATTTTCCTTACAATCTAAGTGGTACTTTTCTATCACACAATAGGCTCAATGCATTCCTCAACTTCATCCAACCAACTTGAATTATGCTAATAACATCCATATATATATCGCTACCACTTTGAACAATAGACCCAAGATATCTACAACGATCACACCTTTTAATGATTTGATCACCCATAGTTACAACCCTATCGAAGGGATTCTGATTTTCCTCCCTCTTCTTCTAAACTCTCTATTACGATTGATGGTGATCGCTCCAAGGGTCACTTTCTTGATTTCAGCAAGCCTTGGTTGAATTCGATGAATTTTCCACTGCATTTCTTCTATGGTAAGTTTTTAACAACTTCTGACACTTATCTCCTCGGTGACATGGTTAGAATTTAGGTTTAGGAGATGAAATAGAGTCTATAGGGCTGATTTATGGTGAGGGGAAATTTTTTAGGTCGGCTGATTTGAAAATTCAGTAAGGAAACGTAGGATTAGGTCAAGATTTGACTATAGTTTGATCGCTTTAAGTCACCCTAAGATGGAATTAGGATTGGGCTAGCTTTGATACCAAATGATACCAGGATCTAATAAACAATCAATGAAAAGCAAATATTATTATTGAATTCAAATCAGAAATTACAACAAAACAAAATGGAAATCTGAAAATTGCGACAAAACAACACGCAACACTAAAATTTGGGTTGGATCTAGGTGAGGGTGGTGCCGGTTAGGGATTTGGGCCCCCGGGAAGGGGGAATGGAGGCAGCTAGCAAGCAGGAAACAACATGGCGATTTCCCAGATTTCGGACAGTAAGCCAGCAGGAATCGATGTGGAATGACTGCCCTTGGTGCAGCAGCAGCAGCATGGATGCAGTTGGAACATCAGGGGACTGGCAGTTTGGTGTGGCGACAGCAAGGCAATGACGAAGGGGAAGATGAGAGAGATGTGGGTGATGGGTAGAAGGGGATAAATACCCCCTCTGGAATGAGATACAACCAAAATACCACTCGAAATTCTTGAATACAATCCTAGAAAGGAAAGGAAATGCCGACGGCTGTCCCAAAGCAAATCACAGCAAATATTAAACCTTAAAACACCAACAAAGCAAATATATAGTCCCGACAACTATGAGTGGGTCCCACTCCAATTAGACAGCGTTCCCAAGGCAAGTTGGGCCGGCTGACTCTCACAACAAGCACTGCATCGAACAGGTTCAGGACGCCCTGCACCACCTACTGCTCTGTTTTCTCATCTGCATCCATTGCTGAATTTGTGCATATTGTTTTTTGTTTCTTTAGTGGCCGTTTCTCCCTTTTTAAGTTGAGCCGTATAGTTTTTATGATCGCCCGACTTTCACGTGATTTTGTTTATATTCTGCTATTATGTCTGTATGTAAGTATCTGTTCAAATTCTCTATTACTGTTATGAGTTTTGTTCACCAATAAGGATGTATAATTTACCAATCTGTGGGAATGAGTTTCCTTCAATCTTGTCTGTTTTTCTAAGTATTGCATGAATTTTTTTTGTTAGTTTTCAATATGATTTGCTGATGCAAATATCAAATTTTAAAATGAATGATTTGAACTATTGTTTTCCCTTTGAGTTGGCCTGTATTTATTTTTGATGGTGATGTGGATGTTAAATCTTTGACAATGCAGCTGTTGCGAAGGCTTTGGGTGAAATTAGAAGCTGGGGTTTGTTAAAGAACGTCTGGGAAGCTGGAAAAGTCATTTATACCTTATCAATCTGGGGAATTTTTCTAGCAGGGTGAGATAACCTTCCATGTTCTTTTGCTTCATCTGTTAAATATAATTTTCTACCACGTTGTCATTTCTATATAGTCCATATCTCATTGTGCTCTGATGCCTGCTGGTTTGCATGCTTTGAGATTTTAGATTGCTAATGGTTTAGTGTTCATGGTTCAGTTTATATTATGATTTCGCTCCCTTCTTTCCCTTGTTTTACTTCACTCTCTTTGTTATGGATGGTCTTACTGGACATTTACAGGAAGATGTACCTTTGTGTACGCTTTTTGCTGATGATATCCTTCTCGTGGATAAGACGAGAGAAAAATCCTAGGAAAAACTTGAATTATGGAGGTCTACATTGGAGTCGAAAGGCCTTCATTTGAGTAGAACTAAAACTAAATACATGAAATGTAATTTTATTAGTAGTAACTCTAGTGACAGAAGTGTAACTTTGGGGGATCAAATTATTAAAAGGTGTGAACGATTTAGATATCTCGGGTCTATTGTTCAAAGCGATGGTGATATTGATGGGATGTTAATAGTAGAATTCTAAGTTGGTTGGTTGAAGTGGAGGAATGCTTTGAGCCTTTTGTGTGATAGAAAAGTACCGCTTAGATTGAATGGAAAATTTTATAAGATGGTGGTGAGACCTGCAATGCTCTATGGCGTTGGATGTTGACCTTTAAATGAGAAGCATAAAACTAAGTTAAGTGTTGTCAAGATGAGATTGATTATGTGGATGAGACACTTAGATTCAAAATGAGAAATGAATATATCCGTGACAGGGTTGGTGTAGCTCCACTGACGGACAAAATTAGAGAGAGTCATCTCAAATGGTTTGGTCGCATTAAACGTCGACCATCTGATGGTCTGTTTAGGAGAGTAAATGTTTTCGATTCGACTTATGTTAAACCTAGGAAGACTTAGGCTTATTGTATAAAAATTTATCTTAATTTCTTAGAACTAAATGAAAATATGACACTAAATAGGACTCAATGGAGAAAAAAAATTTATGTAGCCGACCCCACGTAGTGGGATTAAGGCTTTGTTGTTGTTGTTGTTGTTTTACTTCACTATCTTTACCATTGTACTTGATTGTATACGTTTCATTAAGGCGTGGTCCTTGCTTTTTGTATGTTAACATTTGATCTTATTGGTAAGCTTTGGAAGCATAATCAGCAGAGAAGACCAGAGGAGCTTAAGAAGAGTGAATTGATCAATGTGAATGTTTCGAGCGAGGTATCAACATGGGCGAATATACAGTTTTTTTTTTATTGGATTGGGGGCATTATAATAAAACAGAGCTTTAGTATTCTAAAATTTATTCCAGGTTGAACGGATTATAAGTTGGCAGACATGAATGGACTCCATAGACCCTAAGACAAAGAAGGAAATCAACCTCGTACCTAAGACCCATAGAAAAATAAAAGGAGAAGTGGCTTAATCACAAGTATTAAAGCTATCAAACATGGACTTACAATTCTACCTAGGTCACAACTGCCACTAAATGCTCTAATAAGCGTAGACGATCACATAAACATGTATAAATCATGTGGCCAATCAGGTGGAGAGAATCACATATACTTCTCACGTGATATGACATGATTCAAATATTGTCTATTCCCTAATACGAGGGCTATCTATCTAGATATATATATTATGCCAATATATTTGTAATTTCTCTCTATGTTCAGCCATCTTTTTTATGTATTCTACTAATACTTTGATTAAAAGTACCGCTTAGACTTGAAGCAAAATTTTATAAGATAACTGGGAGACCTACAATGCTGTATGGCACAGAATGTTGACCTGTTAAAGTGAAGCATAAAACTAAGTTAAGTTTTGTTGAGATGAGAATGCTCTTAGAACAATTTGTGAAATGAATATATCCGTGAAAGGGTTAGTGTAGCTCCAATGACAGACGAGATTAGAGAGAGTCATCTTAGATGGTGTGGTTGCATTAAAAGTGGACTATTTGATGATTCGATTAGGAGAGTAGATGTTTTTAATTAGACGTATGTTAAGAAAGGCAGAAGTAGACCTAAAACGGCTTGGGCATGTTTTATAAAAGCTTGGGCATGTTTTATCATGTTTTATAAAAAATGATCGTAATTTATTATAATTAAATGAAAATATGACACTCAAAAGGACACAATGGAGAAAAGGGATTCATGTAGCCTACCCATCTTAGTGGGATAAAGGCTTGTTGTTGTTGTAGATTCGACAACTGCAGATTAGATGTCATATAATCATCTTATATTAGAAAGGGAATGCCATCAAAATACTGGAGTTTGTTTTGTATGGGCATTTTACATACGTACCACCAAATATATATATGTATTTACATGTCTAACACAAACTCTACTTTTTACATCTATACCACCCAAATCTTCCATCACATAAAAAATGCCACTATTTTAACTTTTAAAATGTGAAATACATGTTTTCATTCATAGATAACGTGGCATGTATGTAAAACTTAGAAGTTTAGGTGTTAAACATGTAAATACATAGGAATTAAGGGGTATTTATGTATGTAAATCTTCCTTTTTTTTAAATATAATGTTGTGAGGCTGGAGAATCCTTTCTTTATTGTTTAGTACTGAGATGCCATTTTTTATTCTTGTTTCAGATTGTATAGACACCGGGCTATTGTGAAAGCTGCTGCCAGAGGCGCAACTTCCTCCGCCAAATTTATTCTTAAGGCCCTGTAATTTGTGTTTTTACAAGAATTGGTAATTGTTGTGCTGTTTTCAAGATTGGCTGGTCTGTCTTGGGGAAAATTATTCCGTACGGACACCGCATGCAGAGATGCATGCATTGTCCGATCTCCACTGTCCATCACCGCTTCGGTGGGATTTTTTTTAAAAAAAAATTGAAAGTGGGTCTCACTGAAGCGGTGATCAACGATGGAGATTGATTGGTCTCTGTCTTGGGGAAAATTATTCCGTGTGGACACCGCATGCAGAGATGCATGCGGTGTCCGATCTTCACCGTCCATCACCGCTTCGGTAGGATTTTAAAAAAAAATTGAAAGTGGGTCCCACTGAAGCGGTGATGGATGGTGGAGATCGGACACCACATGCATCTCTATATGCGGTGTCCACACGGAATAATTGTTCATGTCTTGGACCTGTACAAATACTAGAAATGAAAAAAAGAACATTGATTGCGAGTTTGAACCTATAACGTTCCTCACATTGGTTTGAATGTTGACATTTATCTAGGGTTTAGAAAACTGGACCAGACCGGCCGATTCGACCTTGAACTGATGGCTAGTTCGGTCTGAATCATATAAAAGCTCTTTCTGGATATGAACTGTCAATAACCGATCAAATCGGTGATTAGTTTTGTAAACCGACGAACTGGTCGAAGCATAGATCAACCTTACGTGACCAATTCTGCGTGATTTTGAGTGGTGTAAGGGTTTAGCATCTCGGTGTAAGGGCGCTACATCTCAATGTAAGGGCACTGCATAGTGACTTTGAAGCTTTTTGGCTTTGAGAACGGGATTTTTAATTTTTATTAGTTTGTTTTTTTATATTTATCATTATTATATCATTATTTTATCATTTAAATCATATTTAATTAATATTTATATTTTTTACGTCATTCAGTTCAACTCCTGGTTCAATCGGAAATTTTGAATCTTCCATTCTTTCGGTTTGATGTCTGATCAGATTTTCAAAATGTTTGCTTTCACCATTTAATTATGTGGATGGGTTTTGAATTTAGGGTTGTCAAAATTATATTGCCGTTTGGAATTAACTCGAGCTTGACTAGTAATTAGTGACGTAAATATGATATATATGTTGAGTTTTGGAGCCCGGTCTGACCATTCCCGCCCCACTCCTTTCCCGTTTCGCTCGCTCTCGCCTCCCTTACGCGAAAAGTCTTGAATTGCTCCCGTCTCCCGATCTCAAAAGGTCCCCACCGCGACCCTGCTATTTCGCAAAACCGCTCCCGCCTCCCGCCACAAGTACTCACGCTCTCTGTTTCGTGAAGAGTCGCATCTATTGCCACTGTTAGAAGGCATCGTATTGGCTCTCCTACGGTTTTTGGTGTTCTTCTTCGGGCTTTCTCGGGATAGAGGAAGAAAAGTGCCAGCAGTAGTTCCTTGCGGTAGAAGGAAGAAGAAAGAAAAAGAAGAAGATTGTTCTCCCTTGGCTTCTTCTTGGTGACTTGTGGCAGAAGAGAAATTAGTTTTATTTCTCTTGTAAGTTTTTCTTCTTCGGTGTACCTCGGTGTTGAGTTTCTTCGGCGTATCTCAGTGTAGAGAGAGAAAAACAGAGATAGAAGAAGAGAGAGCAACGAAGTGAGAGATTCCTCTTGTAAGTCGAGTCGATCGACTGTTGTAAATTCCTTAAGTAGTAAAATTCTCTGCAACTCTGCGAACGTAGCTAATTTACTGAATCACGTAAATTTGTGTATTTCGTTGTGTTACTATTTTTTGTGTAAATTTTTTCGTTCTATTTTTCGCTTCTTCATCTAAGACCGTTCTCCTATTCTAGATATATACCACAACAACTGTTATATTTCATATATATATATATATATATATATATATGCTTGCATCTCATAGAATTTTTATTTATTTAGATTTCTACCATTTAAACTTTCATATTTATATGCATAACACTCAAATTTATAATATTACCTAAAAAAATTCATTATTATTAATTTTTTAAAAGTGGAATTTAATTTTTTTCATCTATAAGTTTTTGACTGCAAATTATTGTAAATATAAATATTAAATTTACTTAAATTATTTCAAATTCAAAGTAACGTTATTTGTGATATTTAAATTTAAATTAGTAACATCACGGTAGGATAATTTCTTTTAATTTTAATTGGATAGGAATTTAAAATTTTAAATTGTTAACCCATATTTTAAAATAAAATTTTAGACGTTGACATTAAGAGGAATGTTTAATTATTTTCTTATAAATTCACATTACTCAACTTTTTGGGTATTGCATGTAGCCTTAGGCCCCGTTTGGGGCAGTTTAATGGGTGCTGCGGCGTTTTGAAAATGTCGTCGTTGTGTTTGAATATCACGTTGGCTTCGGATTATTTGTGCCGTTTCGAAACACAATTCGCAAAATCCTTAATAGGTACCGAAGCGGATGGAGGCCGCATCTCGCGTATGATTATCGCGTTAGGGTAAGAATTCTGAAGGTGCCCTTCTCTGCTCTCCCTCGCCCTCGCCCTCGCCCTCCCGATCTCTCTTCTGCTCCTTAACTCTAGTGGAGATCAGCACATATATAAGGTATATTTTTGACCTCACAGTTCGCCCTCCTCGATCTTTCTTCTGCTCATATCTCACCTCATACGAGTATGTATTCGACCCTCACATTACTCTTTGCTTGGGAATGTTGGAATAACTACTGCTAAGCAATTGGTTTCATACCTCACTTGTTTTATTTTGGCTCGGGTTGCAATTTACGTACATGTAGGAAGGTGATTTATACCAAATCAACGAATGTTGATGAGTTAGAAAAGAAGAATGAGAGAGTTGAGATGTTGATTATTTGTGTGTCTATGCATCTTGTATGAGGAAAACAAATGAATCATTGCAGAGTTTTCATTCTTTCTTATCAATTGTGAGAAGAACAATCATGTGGAAATTAGAGAAATTGGATGCATCTGTGTCATTTTTACATACATACCACTTCAGTTCCTGTGCACTGTTGAAAAAATCACAATGACGGATTTACACACATACCACTTCAATTCTTAGTCAATTTGTATGCTCTTTTGAAAAAAAAAAATATAATAGGGCATACCACTAAGTTTCTATGCACTTGCATATGGAATCCAATGCAGGTACATACAAAATATATTGGGGCATTTACATACATACCACTCAATTCTTATGCATTATTTCAATTCTTTGCTATTGGTCTAAATGTGAGACATATGTTAGATCCTAAATGAGAGATCTTGCTACCTGGTTTTCGGTAGATTTGAATATGGGCAGATGTAGAGACGTGGATTTTGTGTTTCTATGCATCTTGAATGAGGAAAACATTTCATTTACTAACAAGTTTCATGGATGGAAGAATTCCACTAGCTGCAATGATTGAGCAAATAAGTGATGGAACTTTTTCAATTCACTTAAAATTTTCTTACTTTTGATCTTGTTCTTTTCAATAATTTTTTTAATTTAAAATAGCTATGGATCAAATATAGTTATGCTTGTTTTCTACAGTTTCTGAGGATGAGCTTATTGAAGTTTTTTCTTATTTTTGTTTTAACATCTGAAACTGTACATGGATATTCCATTCATTAATACATTAGATTTTATATTTGTTTACGAAGCTGCATATGGAAATTTAATGATGTTATGCCCACAACCATATGTTATTGGTTGATAGCAATCCCTTGCTAAAGTCATGGAGGGTGTGCTTATGCAGGTTGATCAAAATATATTCAGCGGATTTCATTGTAATGCATTAATGAAGGTTGATCAAAATATATTGGAGCTTACTATAGAGATGCTTCTAAATGAAATGTCATTCTCCCATCAGCTTAACATTGATCCATTGGCTTTTATTATAATGCATTAATGAATGGAATATCCATATGCAGTTTCGTAAAGAAATTTAAAATCTATTGCATCAATGAATGGAATATCCATGTGCAGCTTCCCAAATATTACACTTCTATATCCAACCACTGTTATTGAAAGGGAACTGTTTAGTTTGTTGGTTGGTTAAATGGAATGATTTTTGGGGATATATTGGTCTTTAGAGCTACATGTTGCATTGGTGTTTAGAGCTATGGGTTGCATTGGTCTTTTAGAGCTATGGGTTGCATTGGTCAATTATCACATTGCTTATATTTTAGAGCTACGGGTTGCATATTTGTAGTTGACAATGAAGAAAATTATTGTCACACTTGGCAGTTGCTTCGGGTGGAATTGGCTTCCATGATATGTATGAGAAGGTGCATTTCATATATAAGATGTCTATTGCTTATTTTCACACCTGTAAGAATTGCATGTTGTAATGCAGTTGGATGTCTTTCATTGCTATGTAACCTTACATAATTGCATAATAAAAACATGTTTGATGTCTTACTATGGATGTAGGTCTTTGACCGAACCACATAATTCTTTTGTCTCTTTTTTTTTTAGCAAATTGCTACATTATCGGTTCATTTGGATGGTATGCCTATAGCAAGTTTGGATTTCTTCTCTTGTTGGTTCATTTGGATGGAATGCATTGTTATCTCGTTTTCTTATGCATGTTGAGTTACAAAATGAATTTCTTTATGCATATGCAATTCTTCATATAGTTCCACCATGGCTAAGACAAATGAAGGTGGTACGTCAGCGATGTGAGATAAAGAAATTACAAATATTTTCTGCAACATCTGCATCACCGGATTTGAGATCGGGAATATGCCAACCACCTATTTCAAAAAGAAAGGTTGACAGAATATAGCTAAAAAATTTAAAGAACTAACTGGAAGGAATTATAACAGGCTGAAGTTTAAAAATAAATAGGATCAATTGAAGAAGTGAAAAATTTGGAAGGAGCTGAAACGTGGATCCATGGGATTGGATTGAGATCTCATCAATCGGACAATTGATGTTTCAGATGAATGGTGAGCCGAGGAATTAAAGGTAAAATTGTCATTATTTTTTTGTTAATTACAAATATTTTCAATTTAAATAATTATCCCGCTAAACCCTCTCCTCATTGTAATGTTATAGACAATGTCGACAGCGAAAAAATACAAGCAGAGCGAAATTAAGTCGGATCTTGAAGATAAACTTGACACAATGTTCAGGAGGTTGTGGCAGCGGGAAAGCATGCATACAGCTCTAGTTAGAAGGGGTTTGCAGGAATACTCGATGATTTTCCACAAGAGCCGGTGGCAGTTGAAGAATAAATACACTGTATTAACCAGAGGGAGATGTGGGAGTCAAGCTCACAGATGAAGAGGCCCAGCTAAGAAGAAGAAAGAAAGAATTTTTCCAAAATGCCCTTCATGATCTAAAAATTCCCAAAAATTTCAAAATCATCCCAAATATTCCCAATTTCAATTTTTCATCATCAATTTGACCCAATTTGACCAAATCAATCTAATTTTACCAAAAAACGCAATTTACCCTTAAAAGCCCAAATGTCCCCAAATTCCCCAATTTTGGCCCAATTAACCCCAATCTTGCCCAATTT